TGTCTAGTCGACCTATGCTTCTTGTCCAGGGACCAAAAATACCCATGTTTAGGCAATAAGGGGCTACAATGAAGTCCTATTCCACAGTGAGCAGCTCTTCTTGTAACACTAATAGCAGGATTCATAAAGTAACATCTAATAGAGCTTACCAAATATGCTGAATCCCTTGGGAAAAACAAACAAATGAACCAAAACCAACCAACCACCCAAAAAAAAAACCCCAAAACAAACTAACAAACAGACTATGGGCAGGAGAAGTTCCAGAAGTTTGTCTGCAAGTTTACAGTGCACACCTCCCCAGCCTGCCAAAGACACCAAGTCATCAGTTAGTACTGGAAAGTTTTCTTTCAGAGTTTGCTGACCTGTGCAGGCTGACTGCTTGGGTCTGCCCACATGCAGAGAGCTCCCTTAGTCATAGCAGACCTGAGTACAGCTCATCTCTTGGGTCAGACAGCTGAAGAGCTCAGTGATACCTTGGCTGAAGTTTCACTGCCTTGGTAAGGTTTTGCTTTTTCCATGCTCTGTTGTTTGGGTTTCCATGTTGATTAAGGGTTGTGAATGCTGAATTTCTCATTGAAGTTGAATCATGCTTCCTGGGTCTAGATTTTTAAGCAAGATCCAAACCGTCCTTTTGACAAGGTCAGGCCAGGTTTTGCAAAAGACTCAGTTTAAACAGGAAGCAGATGGCTAAATACCCTCCAGGCTTTGGAAATGAAATAAACTGGCTTTGGAGTCAGTTACCATTTTCAGATGTAGTCTCCCATCCACTGAAGTCCATTGACTTAACAGGATCAAAACACAAAGGAAATGAATCTCTGCTAATACACTTAGTGACTGTTTGCCTAATAAATTTGTGATTTAGTAACAGGATCTATTATTGCTGCAAATGGCAGATTGGGCTTATTGACAGAGTAATTACAGATAAGAACAGGGTGTGAAGCTGCAGATAAAAAGGGAGGGGGTAGTAGCAGTTCCAAAAGCAGAGTGGTACGGTGAGTTATTGGGCTGTCAGCAGGACAGGAACAGTATTTTTACCAGTGGTTCTCAATTCTTCAGTAAGAACTTGCATGTGTTAGAATAGCCAGGTTTTCAGTAGTACCCAGCTTCATGATCTAGTTCCCTCAAGAGCGACAGGAAACACATAAACATAGCTGTGCACTCCTAGGTTGTCACACCTGTAGTCCCATAGTTGGGAGTTCAGTTTTCAGGGAAAGGAAAGAGGCAGCAGTAGTTGCAAAACCAGAATTTAACCACAAGAACCAGTACTCCCGCCAGATCTCACAAGCTGAGCAGGGTTAGATCAGCACATGGAAAAAGAGATGACCAAAGTAGAGTTACATGATTAAGGACATTGTCTCATTACACTGGAGCCTTTTCCATGACCGCAGAAGACCTGGGAAGGCTTTGGAGAGCTTCCCTGTTGTTGGCACGGACAGTAGAACCTTGGTTAGTCTGGGAGCCAGAGAGCCAGGGCAAACAGGAGGCTGTCAGGAATAACTGGGCCCTGACACAATCAAACACCAAACTCATTAGGCTCATTACATAATTCCTACCATCTGCTGAGAGACTACAAGACTATCAGATCCTTTTCTTAGAAGTTTGTACACAGCAATAATAGAGGAAAGTGTTTCTAATGAGTCATGTCCAGAGGAAACAAAGTGCCTTTGACTTCAGTTGTTCTACTTGTTCTTTTCTGCTTTACTGCAAGGGAATATTACGGTTTCACTATATTTGTTTCAGCTGCCAGCTGTTAATAAAAAAGCTCATGTGAGCCAAATAAATATTCATTTATAACTAACTCTGTAACGGTCAACCAGTTACTTGCATTATCATTGGGCAAATGGATTTGGGGTCCACAGGACTGAACAGGAGAGCTGTGGAGTAGCACAGACCAAACTCACTGCTCACATCCTCTGAGCTTTGCCTGTGCATACAATAAGTCAGCATAGACCATTTTAATGACATTTTTCAGAAAAAGATATTATACACCCAAAACACTACAAGTTGAGAGTCTTTTACTGCCCACGGCGATGGGGTGAAAGAGCAGAGGGATTTTTTTTCAGACAGTGGCTACTGGGCTGGGATGTGTCAGCATGGAAAACCAGGAAATAAGCTAAGTATTAGAAGATTTTCAGTTTCCATATAGGCAAGTAGTGAAGCACCAAAATATTTGTGGTTGTTTGTGCCTAATGAAAAGCAGCATGCTTTAAAGAAAAGCTGCAGAGCCACCTGGGAAAAAATAAAATGGAAAATAATGAAAATCAAGTGAGGTCATTTATGTATGAATTACTTTAATAAATGAAATAAGGCAGGAGAGTGCCCAGATCTTTTTTTATTGGATGAAAACACCCAATATTTTCATAGAGAAAAAAGAAAGTTACACTTATTTAGAGAAATGCATTTTTTAAAAGTATAGTCATTTCTGGCTTGTACCTAAGCCTCAGTTTGCAGGAGGCAATAAAGGGACAGCAAAGAAGACTCCTGTTGTTGTATTTGACCTGTGACCCACCAGTGGTCACCAATGGAATAAGATACTGGGCTAAAGGGACCTCCGAGTAGTTTACTTTATGTTGATGATCTTCTTCACAGGCTGCCATGGGGATTTCAGAGCAGAGGCATCCAGGTTTCCAAATTTAGCTGTAAATTTCAGTTTGAAATCAACTTAGAAACTATGAACAATGCTGCCCATTTTCTCGTTAGGATATTATTTCTGGACTGTACTGAGGAAATTTTAGATAAGTCTGAAAATTCTTCAGACGGGATTTGTTATTTATGAAGATGGGGGCATGAAAGATACCTTTTCACTCAGTTCTGGTATTTGTTACTAGTACTTCTATGCTGATGAACCAGTTATTCACTGATCCCTAACAAGCCCTTCAGCCCTGCCTTCTATGAAGTTATTTCCCAAGTCTTCAAGCAACTTAGGTTTAAATAGTCTTATTTAAACATCTTTCTCATCGCTTTCAAGAATAAAAGAATTAGATCAAATGTGAAGAGTTGAATTTGCTAAAACAGCAGGTGAGAATACAGGCACTGCTGAAATGATGAGTCCATAAAGAAATATGAAAATGTTTTTTTATATTTACCCTTGACATTTCTGTGCCATGTTTAATGTTCTAGCTGGAACTGGAAATAGGTTTTTCTTCCTGTTTAGCAAACCACTTTCCACAAGTTGCTCATTAGATGCCGTATATAGCTTTTATTAATGGTCTCAAATGTTGCAAGGTAATGGGGTTTAAGAGAAGCAGTTCTCCACATTTTACTAGATAGGCACAGCACATGAGGCACTGGATTCTCAACATTCATTATGTTCTTTACACTGATATAAGTGTTTTCAAGCATTCATGGACCAGTTAAATTAAAGGCCTTGAAAACAATATTGGTTTCAGCAGCTCTGCATGCCTGGTGAGCAGAAAAAGCAAGCAGAGCATTCTAGAGAGACCAGCTGATAAGTGTTTTCTTGCTTATGAAGACCAGACAAGCATCCCAGTTGTGATCTGAAGTTAACATCAAGACCCAAAAGGAGTTAACAGTTACTAGATTTCCTGTTCCCTCCCTTGTATTTAGAGTATTTTAGAGTGAGGTTAGCACTAATAAAGGGGATCTGAATAGCATTCCTGAAGCAGTTCTTTAAGTGAGAATGGCATGGCATGGCAGAGCTATGGTAAGCACTTGGTATGCAGGTGAATGCCTAGACAGCCAAAGAAAATTACTGCAACTTTACCCCAGAAAAATTGTCTTAGGAGAGATGCTACGCTAGCATTTCCTAGTTACCCTGCACTGAGCACAGCGGTGGAAAGCAAAAAGTTTGAGCAATTTTAATGCAGTTGCTGACACTGTTCTGCATGGAGGTTTCTGTTTATTAGTTGTTCTAGGAAGATGTGACCCTGAGGTGCTTTACTGCAGATGAGAAGGCAGCTGGTTCCACCGCTGCTTGATCAGCATGCTCTGCCAAATGCAAAACAGTTTTTAACCTTATAAAACTGCCACAAAATGCTACCTAGAAACCTCCAAAATCAAGTTTCAATACTCAGAGCCCCATAAAGAATTCTGAGTAACTTAAGATTTGGATTTCATTTGGCAGCTTGGAGTGTACTTAAAAATGTAAAGATGCAGCAAGGATGATCAACTCAACTGCTGACTTGATCATTTGCAGAGCTGGGTCTGTGTACTCTCTGCACTGTGTTCTCAGTGTTCCTCTCCACCGAGCAGAGAGGGACAGGCTGTCCAAAAGCACCTTATTATGACTATCTCAGTATTCTGTGCAAATTCATGATACTTCACTGAGTATCTATGGGGAAGAAAGACAGCAAATTCTTAATTTCCTTATTTGCAGAACAGGCAGAAACAGAGACAAAAGGAGTTGCCAGAGGCCATACGGTCAACAGCAGAGGCCATTTTAGGGGCCAGATAAGGATTTCTCTTCTACGGTATCCTAAATAAGTGTATTAAATAATTTGGCAAATATTTCAATTTCAGCTATTTATTCAGGGCAGGAACTGCATCAATTTGTGTGACTGCAAACTTCAGGCAAACAAAGAAATATGTAATAATCAAATCTTTAAAAGATTAGAACCTTACACTTTAGAAATTAATCATTTCTAAAACAAAGGCAAATGAGGAAGAGGGGGAAGGTCATGAATAGTTCCCTGATAGACCAAAATCTTTTCCCACAAACAAGATGCTTGGACATTGTGCAAAGTTATCTAGAGAAAGATTTGTTTAATTTATTATCCTGTAAATCTATTACTCCACCCCATTGTGCCATTGTGGAAAGCATGGAAAATTAACTTGCCTTAAGAAAAACAAGCACAGCAAGTTGTCATTTATCAGTTCTGTATGCAGTGAACGTCTGACTGTAACAGCACTTTTCGTTAGCAATATAAAAATACTTTTGCAACAGCTGTACAGAGCTGAAGGGTGACAGTCAGCACAACAGATAACAGAGAGAATCACATTACCAAGAGAATCCCAGAGTGCGATTACCAGCAACTTCTTACCTGACAAGATCGCAAATTGCCTGTGGAGCTGCTCTATTATATCCACTGCAACCAGCGGTCGTATCTCCTGCTGCATGATTTCATCTGTGCAAATGAAAACAGAAATATTCAATGAGTTAATAAAACCTTAATGACAATTTTTCCATCTTTTAACTACCCAGCATAACAAAGATGACACTCAAAGGAAAAGAGCTTGGCTTGACGCAGATGCTATATGACTGTCACGGAGAAGTTTATGATACTTACAGTCTCATCTTCAGCCTACTTACTTTATCTATCGCCTTGTGATTTCAGAGGGAGCTTTTCGTAAACCAGCTCCAGTAGATTTGCCAGAGCGTGTCACAGGTTTGCTGAAGCTGACAGCCTGCTCCTTACTACTTCATGTTCCATATTAAGCCACTGCATTTGGCCTCCCACATAAAGCAGCTTTTCAGTCTTTGAAACAGTAAAGTCTATTTCAGATACAGCACCATGTTCCACCCTGGACTCTCTGGTCTCTGCTTGAGGACTTTGTGTAGCCAGCTAATCCACAACAGTTTCCTTTGCTGATGCTTTTTCCGCTACAAGCAAATACTTAGTAAAAGGAGGAAATAAGGGGCTGTGAGGCTTTCTTCTCATGAAAACAAAGCATGTTCTTGTGAAGTAAACACTGAAAAGTAAAAAAATAACTTGGCAAGCAGCTGGGAAAAAATCACCACAATTTTTGTGTGTCATCTTTTCAGTGACCAGCAACTATAATCTATGTAACTATAGACACTGAGCTAACTTGATCTCTTTCTGTAACAGGTGCACCCAATTTTTCTTTCCACTCCTCACCCCAGTCTAGACCAGCAACATTTACTGGGGAATATCTGCCAGCTCAACTGGCAGGATCAAGGTTTGTGTTCACAGAATCACAGAATCATAGAATACCAGGTTGGAAGGGACCACCAGGATCATCCAGTCCAACCTCTCAAGGTGAAAGTATAGATTAAATGAGTTGAGTCAGCACCCTGACGAGCTGACTCTTCAAACTGACCAATGTCGGGGGATTTACCACTTCCCCTGGGAGATTGTTTCAATGTCTGAATGATCTCACAGTAAAAAAAATTCTTCTGGAGTTCAGTCGAAATCTCTCCAGAAGCAACTTGTGTCCATTACTCCTCATATTTTCCATGTGACTCCCTGTAAAAAGGGAGTCTCCATCTTCTTGGTAGCCATCCTTTATGTACTGGTACATGGTGATAAGGTCCCCCCTAAGCCTTCTCTTCCCAAGGCTGAACAGGCCCAGTTTTCTCAGCCTTTCTTCATACAGCAGGTCTTCCAGTCCTCTGATCATCCTCGTGGCCCTTCTCTGGACCCTTTCCAAACTGTCCGCATCTTTTTTGTATAGTGCGGACCAAAACTGGACACAGTACTCAAGGTGTGTTACAGTAGCACCTATTGTAATTGGGTCTTTAGCCACTGCACAGCTACAGTCAGTCCTGGCTTTTGTGCAGCTCACCTCTAACTGCCCCATCAGTGGGTGGAGGGAAGGAAGCTGGGTCCAGATAGACCACAGATCTGAGTACAGGCAAGTAGTTGCCCTATTTAAGCACCAAGATCTTCACTGATGTCAATACAATGCAGGCACTGAAATACTTCAGTGCACCTGGTTTTAAAAAAAAAAAGTCAGAAACAGAGAGGGAGGTCAGGGAGGTTAGAAATTAGCTTCGTTCTCCTGCTGCTGCCCAAAATACCATCTCTGTCTTGCTTTCAGACATCCACTCTGATCCTTTCCAGAACAAGCGATTCTAGGTTTTAAATGACACAATGACACTTGGAAACTTTTGTGTTAATTTTCAAACACTTCCCTAATGCCTTGAGACAAAGTAACTGAAGAGCTTGTGCCGTTGCCCCTCTAGACAGACGGTAACACACAATATGGAAAGAAGTTACATAGATTTTGGCTGGTGCACAAAACAAGGCAATAATTCCAAGCAGTTGAAAAAAATATCAAGAGGGCTGATTCTGCAAATCCTCTATTTGAAGAGTCTTGAGCAAAATAGAAAATTCCCCCCACCTCCTTCATATAGCTGCTTTATTAGCTTGCTCTAAAAATAGTTTGATTTACGTTTTCTAAATATCCTTTTTCTACCAAAAGTATTTCGTGGTGTAAAAATAAATGAAGTAACAGAAACAAGAACTGCAGAGTGCCAGTTAGTTCTCATCAAATACCCTGCCTGGACAAGATGAGCCACATGAGATTTGCTGTAAAGCCCACACTCAGCAGGACACATGCAGATGATGAGAAAGGTGGGATAAAATACATTTGGTGACTGGGAATCACACATTCAAGTAAGTGAGTATAGCTCACACACTGACGTGCTGAGAAAAGAAATTGTAACAGAATAAACTAGCAGGAGACTGAGAATATCTGAGGAAATAAGGGAAGGTGCCTCATGAGCCCAAATGGCAAATCAGCTCACGTGGCTAAGAAATGTCAGTGGCTGTAGCCAGCAGCACACAAGGCCACATTCGCCCTCTTGCATCTTCCTCCAGGACAGTGCTTAAAGGTAGTTCCTGTCGAATATTGATGCATTTGTAACACCAGCACAGAGCTTGCAAGAGAAGTCCCAGTCCTTGGAAACTTACAATCACCTGCGGCTGCTGAAGGAAGTCTTTAATCTTTGACTAAAAGAAAAGCTTAAAAAAATCCTTAAAAGCAAACTGAAAGACATAGGTCTGGGTTCGTTTTAAAGCCATGGCATTTTGCCTAGCATCAGCGAGCATTAATCTGTTCATAACTTCCACTGTCTTTATTCCTGGACGCTCTGTAGCCTTCCTGATGTGTGCACTGCAAACCACAAGCCTGCAGGAAGTGGCGTTTTTGGGCAGAAGCAAGGTACCCTTTTCCTGTGGGACAGAGACCACAGCTGGGAAAACCTGGCTTTAGGCTGACGTGAGCTGATACTGAGCTAACAGTCATAAGTTCGTAGACTACAGACATTTTTTTGATTACAGACATGTTTTAATTCACTATGCAAGCACCCAAAATTCAATGGGAAGGTTTTAGGAAGCTGACAAGCTGCAGGAGCTTGACGAGCATTGCACCTTGCTAATATCTGCAGAAGAGATTGGACAACCCCTGATCACTTCACAGCAGTCCTCAGTCCTGCCCTCCGATAAAAAGTCTGTATAGCCATGCAACTAAAGATCATATCAAAACATACACCAGCCGCTGCTGGTGTATGCCAAAACGTACACTGCTAGAACATGGTTATCTTGGCAACCTTGACTCAGGCATTTCCTAGCTTCTCTGTGATTATTCTTGTGGTCTTATTAATTTTTTTTAATTGCAGAGGCAGTTACACACAGCTTCTCAAATTTAAAAAAAGAAAAAAGCTTAATTGATCAAACAGGATTATGTGAAACAATGCCAGTCCCCTACATAGGTCACCCAAGTCAAATCTTTACACTTGCAGCTCTTCATTACTTGAGCTAATTGAATTTGCCAGGACAACTACAATGTGAATAAGGATGTGATATGAGAGGGGAAAAAAAGGAAGTAAGTCGGTTCATTTACTCTTGGTTCTCCACTTAAACTGCTATAAATTCTATTCCTAGCAGAGACCAGATTCACTGCAGAAGAATTAGGCCTTACAGTTTTGCTTTCCAAGGTTTTCTATCAAGGAGGAGAAAAAAGCAATTACTACAGCCATCTGTCTGACACAGCTTCTCCTCCCTCCCAGACCTCTAGGGAGGAACTGTGCTATCTCATCTTTAAGGAGAAAACCATTCAGTTATGCTTCATAATTCCTCACTCCAAAATGAAACATGCTTGGGCTTACGCACACACCAGAGAAAAACTAGTTTACATGCTAATGGCAACTGATGGTTTCCAACAGCTTTGGAAAGGACCTGCTGGAATGAAAGATTGGATTGCGCCGAGCAGATTGACACAGCAGTGCCTGTTGCTCCATGAAGGATGGCCAAAGGCAACTACCCATAACGGGACAGTGGGGTTTCTTTATGTTTTAGTGACTGCATACTACAACCGTCTGGCCTTCTGTGGACTAGAGGATGGAGTTGCTTCAATCTCAAAGCTGAAGTCACTAATCTTGGAGTAATGGGCTACAGATTTCCAGAGCAAAGTTCATCCCTTCTTAATGACAGTCTAATGTGTAATTCACAAGGAAGGAAGACAGCTTGAAGTGACATAAAATCTTTACTAAAATCATAGAGTGCACTGGCCAACTTCTACTCTGTGCAAGCTCAGTCAAAAATGACCCTCAGAGCATTCAAATCAAAACTGCAGATCTGGGGAAAAATCGGATTGCTGGTGTGATGGAAGAGTCAGACAGGGTTAAGCATAAGGCCAGAGATTTCATTTTAAGGGCATGAAAGGACACCTTAATATTATGTGTTCTTATTCTTCTTAAAAAGTACCAAAAGGCAACACCAGAATCCAGAGTTCAATAGTTGCAAAGTACCTACAGTTCAAATGTTCACCCAAGTCCTGTGTCTGCTTGCCATGAACAACAGTTAGCTAAGAGTCTCGCAGAGCTAAGTTAGATTTCAAGAATTAAACACACTATGGAGACAAATTTGCATGTCTTCACTCATAAGCTTTACAGGCTAAAGGATCTGAAAATATTCTGTCCCACCAGAATTCCCAATGCAAACCCTTAAGCAAAACATTTCCCTTCCTGAAGGCCAAAAAAGAACTTCAAAGTTATTACATCAGAGAAAGCAGCTCTTGGTTTGGGTTTCTTTTTTTAATTCTATTTATTTCTATTTCTCACCATTTGTTCCCTTTGTTTACTTTTTGAAAACGCTTGTTTATTCTTTAAACCAGACAGAGAAACAGCAAGATCAGTTACTGATACAAGCTGGCTGTGCTACAGATTGTTTGCTTTAAAGAGGAGCTAAAAATCCAGGAAATCCAATCCTTTCTCTTACTCTTCCACACATTCCCACCACCTCTTGTTTTTGCTAACCCATGTTGAGTCAACTGAAAACTAAGCCAGGAAACAGTTATTGTAAATGAAGTGAAGCAATCTTTTTCTTACTGGATTGGTTCTTTTCTGGGTTAGTTCTCTGCAAAACAGCTTGAAGGATACAGG